GGAGTTCAGACGTGTGCTCTTCCGAGCCAAATATTTGGAAATCGTGAGGTTTGAGAGAAAAATGTTTTAGACAAAAGTTTTGGGACTTCAAGGGGGACATAAGATGATAACACTGGTTTGATCCTGAGTGGCGTCGTCAAGATCAGGACAAGGTCTCTTTAAATTTTTTTAATAAAACCCCCTATTTTTCATTGCATATTTTTGTGACTTATTTTGAGAGCTTTCCAAAACGCATAGATAAAATGTATTTTGGTTAAATCTTGAGTTATGAAGCTTGAAAGTTACAATACCGCCGGCATTAGCATTATCCAAAGTGTCCGAACAATGGCTGAAACGGTTTGAATGTTGTTCAGGATTATGATCTTGATAACATGTGTCAAGGTCATGATCATTGGAGATTACTTCTCTTATTTTCATTTTTGAAGATTATTTTTATTTTTAGAAAAAAGAGAAACATTCTTTAATAATCATGACTTTGACACATATGTCAAGCACATAATCCTGAACAACATTCAAAAGTTTTCAGCCATTGTTCAGACATTTTGGATAATACTAATGCCGGTGGTATTGTAACTTTCAAGCTTTATAACTCGAGATTTACTTAATCAAAAAACATTTTATTTATGTTCTAAAAAGCTCTCGAAATAAGCTACAAGAATATGAAATGAAAAATGGGGGGTTCCATTTAAGAAATTCAAAGTGACCTTGTCCTAACCTTGACAACGCCACTCAGGGTCAAACCAATATTATCATCTTATGTCCCCCTCGAAGTCCCAAAACTTTTGTCTAAAACATTTTTCTTTCAAACCTCACGATTTTCAGATATTTGGCTGTCTAAGTTAAAATGGTCACCCTGTATATACAGGGTGGACCATTTTAATCCATCCAGTCGAATATCTCGAAAATCAAGCCCGGGAGAGAAATATTTTTCAGACAAAAGTTGTTTGGTTTCGAGGGGGACATAAGATGATAACATTGGTTTGACCCCGAGTGGCGTCAAGGTCAGAACAAGGTCACTTTGAATTTTTTTAAATGGAACCCCCAATTTTTCATTACATATTCTTATAGCACGCCTCGAGAACTTTCCAAAACACATAAATGAAATATTTTTTTATGAAATAAATCTTGAGTTATAAAGCTTGAAAGTTGGAGTACTGTCGGCATTAGCATCATCCAAGGTGTCCAAACACTAGCTAAAGCCTTTTGAATGTTGTTCAGGATCATGACATTGATAA